AAGTTTATTTAGTTTTGTATATATAACTTAAGTACAAAAACAGTATATTGCAGTTCATTCAATCAGTGTATTTTGAAATTGTGGTGATTATTGACGACCAAAAAACCGTTTACATGGAAGCTACATTTATCTAACACGATCTAACTAAACTATCAAACTCAACCTTGGTTCACTTTACTTACTCCAACATTTGCATTATGCACTAGTCAATTGAACCCCCCCCCCCCCCCCCCCACCCAGGGAATACCAGGGAATTTAATGTTTGAGTGGTGTAATAATAAGACATTTCCCCTGTTAGTCTGGGCCACTGTAACTGTTAAAACACCCCCGCTATTTTAGTAGAGTACAAACACTAAAACTGTTCAACATAAATACCACTAAATACTGCTAACTTATGYTAATTCTATTGTTTTCTATTRTTTAATTAACACTATTTTGTAGTGAATAGTGGAAAGTGTTGCGCRCATTTAATGTTAGTACTCTACTGTTGACCCGCTACTTTGGTCTAGTAGTTGATAACAAAACAAACACCTTTCAATCAAATTTTCTGTGATACACAGGGTTTATTTTTGCACAATTCTGTGTACTCATTTGAGTAATGCATGAGGTTAACAGGGCAGAGAAAAAAATGTGTGATAAATTTCTTTTAAAACATGTTTCACACAAGGAAAAATAAGAAAATAAAAAACAGCACTGAATACCAATGCTTTCCGGGTGTTTTCTCAAGATTTTCAAGCTCTAGTTTCCAGCCTCGTACATTTTCAAATGCATGTTAAAATCCCCAATCTTTGCCTGGCTTCAAAAACAATTCACCAAAATCCAGACCCCCGGGGCAATCTTAAAAACGCATCACATCCCCGTTCAGTGCGCCGCTAACCCCTGGGGGCAGGGGTGGGGGTTTCAATTGACTAGTGCATTAGAGAGGAAATGTCCTCATCTTTTCTGTTATTATAAATGCTTTCATAATTATATTATTTTATTTAACTTTTCAGCAATTGTCTCCATGAAAGATCAACAGTGTATTCTGCAGTAGTCCATTTGATCTTYATAGATAAAAATATGGTTCTAACTAGTGTAAAAACTTTTCATGCAAAGGAGGTGCTGTTAGTGTCTGTTAGTGTTATGTCCTTTTTTAACAATGAMGTATATTTGTATCCAGTGTGATTTGTAAAATGTCTTTTCACTGTTGTATGTATTTCTCAGTTGAAATGTGAGATATCAACTGCTTTGCTGTTATGACTTATGTGAGCAAGGAAGGTTTTTGGGAAATCTGTAATGAATCACAAATCACCCATCCTCTTGAAGACATCTACATTCTATTTTGATTAGGAAATGTTGGCCTCTGTGCTATGTGATGTAACCTGTATTATGTGATACTTTAGTCAATAAAACAGTTTGAACATGCTTACCATTGGTAAGCAACAGTCCACCACCATCTTGTAGCCATACCTTTGCTTCAAAGCATGGTGACCGGTGAGCATGCAATGATAAAAAACTTTGTTCACAAGGTGTCTATCATTGCATGCTTACCAATTGTGTCACTTCAATGTAAAGGCATGGTTGCATTTTAAGATGGAGCAGAGAACTGTGTCTTTTAATATGTGTCTCTTGGTATGTCTAGGATATGGATATGCTGTGTTATGTCATAATGACATGACAACACTCCTGAACTACGTTCTTGCGTGACTATTTTTTTAACATCCTTTTTCTGAGGGCAGCTATTACAGCATAATGCCCTGATTCAACTACTCTTTTTTTAATATAGTCCCATCACTTTGTCATACAAATAGTACCAATTACGCTTAAATTGTGTAGATTAGAGAATTTCAAACAGAGTTATTAACATAATTCAGCACTATTATGTACTATGTAATTGCTCTGGAATGCATCATATTTACCTCTTGGTAAAAATGTGATCTATGAAAGTCAATCAAACAATATGTGTATGCTTAACATGGCTAAATATAATTCACTTTTGATGTCCATGGCGACATTGATAGCGGTACCACGTGTGTCCTGTGATTATCTATCAAATGATATGGCTGTTTATCATTTGTACCAATGATGTCATTGGTAAATATATTCACTATGGGTGTCCATTCCAGAAAGTAGGATATGGGTACCCTTGGTGCTGTTATAGTCAATCCAAGTTTATGCTACCATTGTTGTTAATGATACAACTGGTGTCTGTTGGGTAAACTAGGATATGTGTGCTGTGTGCCCTGTGGTGGTTGCAATTKGTATCAATAATACCTTTTTTAGTTAGAATATTAGAATCCATGGGTGAAACTGCAATATGGTCAGATAGTCAAATACTTTTCTTTCTTACCGGTCCTTTCCCTTTTCCTTTTCCCTTTTTTCTCTCTTTCTTTGGTGGGGAGAAAAGTATATWAACTCAACCAAATCGTCTGAAACTTCTTCAGGGGATTGATGTATGCATCAATAACAGGATGTGATAGTTTTGTGTGATTTCGTTGCAATCCAAGWAAGAAATTCACGATTCAATAACATCATACAAAATCGTAAAATAAYGGTAAAATATAGAGGGGAGGAGAGGGCTGGTTACATAAGAACCACTGATAAAGAGCCTGTGCTCTCTGTGGGCTCGCTTGAGCTTGTTTTATACACCCTAGTCCCAAGGTATTGTTTTCTCCGCACTTGACGTCAAATTTATTCTTTTGAAATTTTTACAATACATAAGGAATTCAAAAGAATAAATTTGACGTCAAGTGCGGAGAACGTAATACCTCGGGACTTATTAAAAGGGTGTATAACTAAGGCTAATAGTTGAGGGGGGAATTCGATGTTATTTCTAGTATAGCAGGGGGGGTAATAGCTATTTTCTTATGCTTCGGAGGTGGGGGGGGTTCTGGCCAATTTTCTGCTTGAGAAGTCTGGTTTTACGGCCCCCCTCCTGGTAATTATTGCACAGTCCCTCACTCGTTTGACTCTAAACAATGCTAATTTCCTCACCTACATGTATCTCAGCTCGAGCAAATTTCAATAGACATGTCTATTTTTATTTTACCCTGCGAGCAGAGTGTATTTCCTTACCTCAATAAACTTCGCGAATTTTTGAGGTAAGGAACTATACACTCTGCTCCCAGGGTATTTTTATTTGCGAGGGGAAAAAATATAAAAAGTGGCTTTTAAAATTAATCTTTATTCATAAAAATGTTTGTATTTATCTTGAAAAGTCTCAAGAAATTAAATAGAAAATGTTTACGGCTTCATGAGGTCTCGAACCGCGAGCCACKCCATTGACACCGACGTGAACGTACCASAGCTGTTGAGCCTGGGCGCCCTGTGTATAGTATCTGTATAATAGACCGTATGCGCTCGGCGTCTYCGGTGATTTCTGCATACRCAACTCTCCAGAATGAAAATTTATTTGTGGGTTGTGTCTCCAATATGTCTTGAAAACGTTTGGACGCTCCTGTACATRCTTGAGATATCAGTGTTCGGTCAGATAAACTATGTGAATCGCAATTTTTTGTGTATTCGGATTATACTCCAGGAATAAAATTATATCGTGAGAGGTGTCAGATAAAATAGACTACAAATGTCGATCAATATAATGTATAGTGTTTTGAAAGCTCCCGCTTGGTCAGTGACTTCGTATATAGTACCAATGTCAAAAACTAAGTCGGTATTTTGTAACACAACGAGAAATAGAACTAAAAAATAGTTATTTTTTTGTGTATCGCGCGACAGAATATCGGCTAGACACCTACATCGTGATTGGAAGAAAACCTCTGTTTAGAATCGCAAGTACATTGCGCGACTTATAAAATGTTTTATATTTATGGGAAAAATTGATTTATCTTGACGCCGAACATAGATGTATGACAGAATATAAAATAAAGATGCTCRAGAATGATCCCAAGAAGCCATTTATCTGTCATTTATCTGTTGTTGTTAATTTGTTGTCCATTTCGCGCATTTCATACATTTTTGTACTTAATTGCTTATTTTCCGTGTATTTTGCGTTGCTTGCGTTCCCTGGTTTATTCTCCATAACACCACAGGTAACCCAAAAATGTACTGTTTGTCACTGTTGCGAGTTCAAATCTAAAAACTAATTTTCTTTCTTTATAAACGGTCTCTTTACAATATCTTTTATTGATTTCTTTTATTTTTTTTTTCGGTCCGGTATCCTAGTTATTCGCGCGCTGTGATCGGCTATCTCGCGGTCCGGTTTTTCACGATCTGCCCGGTCCGACGGTATCCTCCAGCTAGGCTGCGAGCAAAGTTGCATAAAATACAAATTAAAAAATAAAAATATTATTTACCGGCTATAGGTCGGTCCGTATAGGAAAACRCTGCCTTCRGTATTTTATGTACGGACCTCGCTGCGCTCGTTCCCTACTGTCAAGACAGCGGGCATTGTTTTCCTATACGGACCTCAAAGCCGGTAAATAACATATATATCATTCCAAATCGTTTTTTACCCATATCTCGCCTAGAAATTCCAGAATCTTTAATGGTTACATATAAAATATCAAATACAGTATAAAATATTTTTAAGTTCTTCTAACATCTAACCTGCCTAGACTAGCCGTTTTTGCTATATGCAGGTTATATGTGTTTCTTGTCAAATATTACACCGAAGTTATAATAAAATCTGAAATCTGAAAYCTAAAGGAATAGTGCGAAAAAGATGCGAGCATTCTACACGACACACCGAATCTCTTAGGTTGCTTTCCATTTGTCAGAACTGGCTGGCCAGACCCAGAGAAAATGTCATTATATATCATTCCTATTTAGTCGGGAAATTCAAATTTTCAAATTAAATCCATTATTCTATAGAAAACCTCGAAATGACTGAAAAATGTTGATAAAAAACTATATACCTCTAAATAGAGCGGACTGGACGGCCAGTTCTGCCTAAATGGAAAGCACCCYTAAGTGAGARAATCTCAGAACGGACAGAAATGAAATGATAATAACATGTAACAATTTCAACACTTCTTGCTAATTGATTTTAAGGCCAAGAGTTTCAAAAATCCCTAACTTGGGTGTTTTGGGTCGATTCAATCCCCGAAACARCTATGTATAGTTGATAAAACCTGTTTATTTTATGTCAGTGAAAATTTAAGATTAATATGATCATTTATATTTTTTGATATTACAGGTTGCCAAACAGTTCATTCGTTTTGGTTCTGTTGATGTCAAAATCATTGATCCACACAATGGTCTTGTAGCAGTTGCTCATCACAGAAGGTAACGCTTTCTTTTCTCGTACAAACAACCGAGAAGGATATGAGTACGGAGAATGTGGCATGACCCCTGTGGTCCTGCGCGTGATAATATGTGAATGACGACCGTCGTGTGCTAAAAAAATTATGARCAAAATTATTAACACAATAATGAAAAGGAACTTTAATTCCTATTCCGAAGGTAAAGAGCAATCTTCTATTGATAAATCAACAAACACGTGGAGGTTAATGACGTTATTGGYGTCTTCGACTCGCATGAATGGTGACCTTATTATAAATCGTGAACGTCTGCATCGCCAATATCACCAAATATCATTTATCCGTGTGCTCAGTTAACATATTTTTCATCGGTAGCTCATCAAAACCAAACTAAAACATTATAGTCGGAGCCAAATGATACAATATAATTCAAAAAATACAAAAAAAAAATACAAAAATACATGTAGTTCTCGGTTCTTCATGTTCGCGTGTATCAATGGAAATCGAAATGACATTTAATGTCGCCTTTTTACTTGTTTCTTAAAGAAAAATTGACAACCACTCTGAATGCATTCTCTTCCTCCCRCCTCTCAACAAGTGAGAGAAAGGAACGGTCATCAAAGACCAGAAACGATTGCCAGTGAAGGCATCATTTCTGGCTTGCTTCACGCTCAGAAGAGAATACTGCGATTCATCACCGTGGATGTCGAGGTTGCCTTTGTTGGGTAACAAAGACGGGACGCGTACTATAGAAATGATCCTATTAAGTACGGTCTTGWTGATRRAATAYTAGCATGACTGATACSTATTARCAGTGACGGCCGTTAGATGTGGGAGAAATAACTGCTATATTTTCAACGGGGAGCATGCGCAAATTGCAATGCGATAGAATTATTGTAAACGTAAAATTAMTYGGAACGGAGTGTAATTTATATTTAGATTAGATTGAGGAAAGATACATCATGTTGCATTTTGTTATCAGAGTGAAGGATGTTCTAAGTCTTGTAAAAAAGAACAAAAAAACTATTGTACGATTGTATAACCCGCTGTATGACTCACCGACGATGAAGACCATCATTTGGTGAGTACAATGCGCGGCTGTCGACACAGTTCCCCCTATTCTTAAATATGATATTATGTTCGTCCCGTCATCAATATAAGCCAACATATAAGCGAAGAACTTTATAYTGACCTACATTGTCGCGTGRAAATGATTTTTAAACGCTATAGAACGTCATATTTGCTGTGAAAACTTTATGTGTAGCGTCCGAATGAATGAGCATTTGAATCGGTTTCCTAGGGAACGAGTTACAGAAAGAATTTGAATAGCCGGATAAACTCATAGTATTCGTCCATGTTATCACTTTATAACCGATTCCTTCAACCTCGTTCCCAGACCCTTTATCCCTTGACCCTTTACCTACAATAGTTTCATCACTTTTACTCCGACGAAGGATTTTAATCCTTAAAAGGTCCGAAACGTCTGTAATTTACTTCACCTACTTTTTTACGGTGTTTAATTTATCTTTTTACACAACTGTTCCTTTATCCCTTGGTATGGGGGCAAGCGGAATATTTTAGCCAACTCCATAGTTCTTCGCTTTGGCCCACTCCCCTCTCCCTGGTATATTGAATTGAACTTATTTTCACATCAGGTCTGGAGGAGCTCTTTTGACGGTATCCATTTTTGTGGGCAGTGGGATCCTTATATGGAAAGTATTAAAATGACTGAATCTATTCCAATTATGTTGCCTTGACAGCAATGGCGSACTAATGAATTCATTTTTCTTTATAAATAATAACTATTCCAGTTATGAAGTTTGGAATTACGAAAATGCTCAGAGCGAGTGATGGTACATAGATCGATCATTTGGAAGTCCAAGAACTTAACTATACGCTTTTATACAATTCAGGGACTGTGTGTATACTATAAGGTCAAAAGATTTCATAAGCATGTATCGTTTGTTAAAATAAAATTGTATTTAATTTATTGTTTTCAGTGCTCTTGGGTTGAAACACTTAGGGATTTGCAGCACAGTAATAAACCCTTTTTCACACTGTGTTAGCCTCAAAACCATGCGATATGTTGTTTTATTTATAGGACGTTAAAGATAGTTTGAAATCTCACGAGAGTTTTATCTAAATTCCTTCATATTTTGAGGCTGACCAGTGTAAAAAAGATCGCGAAATTAAATTATTAGTTTAAGAAACCATCCTAATCCCCGAGTATCTGTGGAAGAATTATTTATTTCCTCTACTGAATACTGAAAATACAGAGTTAAACTAGATTCCAAGAAAGTCAGTCAATACTGACAAAAATTGAAATTTTTGGCAAACCATGTCCCAAGAAAATTTACATTCGGGACAGCTATCTTCTCGAATGTTGCCTTGTAACAAAGTCGAACCAACTTGAGTTAAATGATTTAAGATTAAGTATGACCAATACAAAATCGCATAACAATTTATAAATAACTTTTCAGGACGTGTTAATTACACTTAGCTTTATAATGGAAATGAAGGCTCACAATCCTCCCCAGTGTTTATCGTTTGGTTTATAAGGTGCTACAGAACCAAAAACACAACAAGCATTGATTCCTTAACAAATTGTTATCAAAAGGCTTAAACTGATCGGTTGTTCGCTTGTTCTGCAGTTTCATCGCAATTGTTTGCTAATGGCTATTTGTAATCCGTCATCTTGAAGAACCAATCGCGAGCCGGAGTTATATTAACTCTTTCAATTAATTCTAACTATGAATAATATTGTTAAGCGCAAGGTGGATTATTTGCATATCTGACGCTTTTCATTGATGGAGGCAAAACAACCACCTAACGTTGAAGAAAATGCTCTAAAACTGCGACTTTTGAACGAGGAAATTTCACCTTGTGTCTGCTGCCGTTTATATGGCAAAAGCTCCATCGAAGGATGGCAGCCGAAAGGAGAACAAAAAAACAGCAAAAAGCGAGTAGACACTAGTCGTGGTGGTAACCAGGGGTTGTTAAGGAGAGAAAGAACAATCCTGACTGCCTCGAGAGGRACCTTCTTATTTCGTCACTATGATTCTTTGGATCGATACATAAAACAGTATCGTGAAAATCACGCGTCGACATGTATGGAAAGAGATGCACAGGATGGAGTTGGACCAGTACTAGGTGTTGACTTACCTGATCCGTATTTGCCTAAGATCGCTAGTTCAAGGTTTGTTGACGTTTTAAACTGTCAAAGTGCTCTGAACAGAGCATATCGTAATTTTTGCATGGTTATAGTTATTGAAATACAACATCTAGGTGGTTATTTTAGTATATTGTTTTAGTATGTTTTTCTTTTAATTTTTATATTGCGGCTATCTATTTTGTCGATGGAAATTTAGCTATTCAAAAAGTGTCATGTCTCAATCAAATGTATACTTTTTTTCCTCAATTTATAACTTCATTCTTTTTTCATTTATTATTTTTTAGGGAATAGGTATTTTGTRTTTGTTTTTAGCCCCCTTAAAAATGTTTTTTCGGTATCCAAGTCGTGTATATATAAAAACATGCGGTCAGTTTCTATTATCTGAATTTTTTAATTCTTTTTCTCGTCGCATTGATAACAAAAACTTCTCAATCAAAATAAATCTTCCAAACGGACAACTGAAATCCAGCTGTAAAGAAATCTTTTCCTCCGACGAAAAAAATACCACTATATTTTTCAAAACACAAAATAATGATAAAGTAATACCAATGAGAGAGATAAGAGGTTTCTTTGACCAAATACACTTCTTTGTATGTGGATTTTCTATTCTATTTTTCTACATATAAATTAGTTTTCTTATATTTAGACGAAACTATTTTAATAGTCGTTTTTTTTTCACGGGTCGGTGCTTGAATCAAACAATTCCTATATTGACAATTTTCTTAACTTTTAAAATATCTCTAAGGACTAAGGTAGTAAACATACGACGAAACAACAATTAATCACAATTACCGCAAATTTTGAAGCACTTTGAAAAAGACGAAAGAGGACTWTGAACCTTAATAAAATAATAAAATGTTCTAGGGGCATCCTCAAAGCTCGTAGACTTTCACATGGATATTATTGAAAAAGTGTAGACCAAATTAATGACCATATTRCAATAATTGACGCTTTTAAGAGGAAATGAACTGATTGTTGAATAAATTTTTAATTGCTGCCCTCAAATTAAAAAGTAGGCTCGTTGGCAAGATTTTTTACCTGTGTTGACAATACCGGAAACGGCTGAGAAGAGTATAATGAAAGCCTTKTTCTTTACATGAAATTTTTAACTAAGGTGTGTTTTCCTGCACACTTTTAGCTTATTTTTCGTATTTTTGTGCTTTGCTTTTAAAATGTTCTATAATCATTTCAGTGTTTTGATAGAAAGAATCAAGATCATTGAAGCTTTGTCAAGCTATTACAGTACTGAAAGGTAAATAATTCATATAAAATGCAMTGCAGTATTAAAAGGGTGTAGCCATGTAAGACGTGAGGCTTTTTTATGTTTGAGCCTAACGCTTATTAAAGTGTGAATTAGAAGCGCACACAGCAACGCTTAAGGTTTTCCAGTTGTGTAATTTATGCCATTTCTTTTCATTCTTACAGAGATGTGAAGAATATATGTTTAACTGGAAGAAAAGCTGAAGCCAAGGGTAAAGATCTTGCTGTACAAACGCCGACGTCGAAAAAAAGTGACAACTTACTACCCCAAATAGAAAAGAGTAAAAATAATAACCATAGCAACAACTTCAGCAATAATAACGACATTCAGAATTATATATCACTACCAACCGTCAATGAGACTGATGATGATTGCACCGCGTCGGAACAAAACTCGCCACAAACAGCGGGAACGGAAAATTTAATCACTTTGTCGGAAAGACTACGTCGCCATCAAGGTGTTAAAGACATTATGCGAGTGACAAAYACTGCATGCGATCAGCAAAAGAATGTTGAAAACTTTAGAAATAAAAAAGAATCATTAATTCTTCCAGCCGCAAAGCTTGTATGTCACAGTGATACAGGAAAATCCCGAAATGCKGAAAATAACATTTTCACAAAAAATAACRCTTTCAAAGAACTTTTTCCTCAAATTTCTTTATGGACAGAATGCGATCCACTTAGACATACCAAGAAGCCTGATAGGGTTCTAGAAAAACTGCGGATTGGAAAAAAAGTAAAATTATCCAAGGAAAATTCCACAGAGGAGCTGTGTGACGAAATTCTGAATCTTCGTAGCTTAGAGACAAGAGAAGGAATAAATTCAAGAGGCGGGAATTTGTGCTTAGGGAAAACTGTGCGGCCTGATATAACGCCAAGAGAACAACAGAAAAAGGTTAAAGGCAGGAAATTTCATAAAGATAGCGCATTGCAGCAAATATCCAGAACTGTTAAAAACAGCCCAAGAGAAGCAGCTTTTATACGAATATTAGGACAGCCAAAAGGCCCAACTTCCGTACTCCAAGAACCCAATATGGCACCTACTAAACATGAACAAAGAGAAGTGGAGGATAARCCGAAATCAACAGTCCGCAAGGATTATGGAATACCTTTAAGCTACCTTCGACGTTTKGGTCGTCGCAGTTTTCATCATGTGCTAGAGGCGCGTTCTTACAAACCAGAGACTCGGAAATTAGGAACAACAGTTATTCCAAATTAGAGATTGTGTTATTTGACTTCGGAAYCACATCATGCATTTCACCATTTTTAAAGACATTTGTAAACAGAATGAGCGGACTTGTCGGCTGTTTAAAGTAGAATAACTGCAGAAGTACATACTTCTGATAACTGCTTATAATTTATGAATCAGCGGATATTATATTATATTTAATGTATATAGTGAATACTGTACAAATAAACAGATGATATATTAAATTAGATATTGAATTTTTTTATGCAGGGCGTTCGCAGTCGGATAGAGCAATAGTTTGTTTGGTGTGTGAATAAAAAACCAAAAAAGGGTTTCAGAATAACAAATCAAATGAATTATTTGCGTATAAGTCCCAAAATCTGGACGTCGCGGGTATCAAACCGAGATCAGACGGACGCGCAGATTTGTGGAAAGTTTTCAGGGAGATCCATCAGACACGCATGTATATGAATTAGAAATTACTTTGTTTGCGAATTGCTATAATAGAGTGTCCTTCTCCTCTACCATTTAGTTTTCACCTTTTTAGTTAGTGTCCGATATGTGATTTGGAGTCCGTCAGCAATTGTACAGCCGAGTGTAATGGTAGACTTTGCTATATTTCCATATGTGTTTTAACCCGAGTAAACGCTTTAAGAGCAATGTTGAGATAATGACTGCAGGTTCAGAGGGCCTGGGTCGTGATACCAGGAACGCCTGTTGTAATTTTACCCTTGGTGATCAATAGACGCTCGAGTGTTTACGCTTGAAATGGCAGTCGAATGTCAAGATTACTAAAAATACGAAATCTTTGGGKTGGAATTCGACTATGTCTTATTGTTACAGATTGATGACCGTCTGCAAAACATAAAAATTTTCATTAATACAATGAGTTCACTGAYTGGTTTTATTGGAGTGCCTCTTGCCATCTCCATCATATGGTCAAACTGAAGGATTACCCAAAGAAAAGACAAAGAACATATATGTATGTCACCCATGCAGCTKTTGATTTATTGAATTGACATTTTTAATTCAAGTTTCAATCATACTGACTGTACAAGTAATTCCATAATGCACGAGTACTACACCATCTGCAAATATTCGTGAACGGCTTCACTTTCAAGTCAACAAACACGATATTGTTATTATCTTGCCCTGTGATGTCTCGTTTTCGGACGGATTTAAGGTCATTTCCACGGCGTAATTCAAATATCGTGACCAAGTTCCCCCCCGTTCAAAATGACCATGTATTCCGGTCACCATCTGCCAGTCCACAGAGTTTTAGCACAGACATGGTAGTTGGTCTTCAAATGAAAACCGGGGCTGYTTCACCTCCGAAAGACGTTAAAGTTAGAAGAGCTGCAACAAGTCCAAAGGCAAAGATGAGAAACACGGCTAATTCAACACCAAAGAAAACTGTCCCAAATATCCAAAGCAGCGCCACCATGCAGAATCAAAWTGATAAACTGAATCAAGATATTACTATGTTAAAAATGCAGTTGCAAGAACTTTTAGACAAGATTACAAAACTTGARAAAGAAAATGAGGTACTGCAGCCCGAAAAACGACGTAACTACAGGGGATGGGTGSGGGCTAGAAGGTTATTCTCTGTGTGAATGTCTCCTTGGTGGGATATGTTTAGSAACTGCTCAATTACTAAATATTTTTTTCATTTATGCTTAAYGTCACAGAGCTAATTAACTGTATGTTTTTAAKTCAGTTTATTTAACTAAATATKAARCTGCATCTGTTCATTTCAGAAACTCAAGTYGAAAAATTCTTCACAACATAAAGCAATAGAACAGCTGAAAGAAGAAAATAAAATWAAAMATATCAAAATTTCTGAGCTTGAAGAATTGCTTAGACAACAGGTTTGTCCACTGATTTTAGAATTGTTGTAAATACACGTATATGTAACTGAAAAAGTAGCAGAATCAAAAAGCTAGATTGTTAAACTTAATTAAGGCGATTTTGACATTTATATCCTATTTGGATATGGACATGTACAGATGGTTAAAACCAATCCAAATTTTCCTCAGAAAGATGTTGGAGCTGATGATATCTTTCCTTTCATGCTCCTCTTTTTGAACCTTATAGACCTTATATATAAACCTTAATATGGCAACACCTTTCCAGTAAGCTGTATACACTGGTGGAAACTACATGTATAGCRGTAAACTAGTGTGAGCTGTGTTGGTGTTTCTAAAGAAAGATAAATTTAACACTGTAAAAAAGTAGGTGGRAACAACTTACTGACRTTTTGGATGTTAATACTTTGTCGGAGTAAAGGATTAATGTSCAAAAACGTCAGTGTTGTTTTCACCTACTTTTTTACTGTGTTAAATTTATCTTTATTCATGTCTTGCTAATATTTTCTCTAGATTGTCTAGCAATTGTCCTTGTGRATCAACTAATTATATAAGTAAATTTGAAGCATACCATAGATAATCAGCAGGGTGTGATTGTGATGTCATTGATTTCTTCACATGTCTTTGCAGGAATTAATTCACAAGAATGAAATTGATGCTCTAGACTGTCAAATACATGACAAGGATGCAAGGATCAAAACTTTAGAAAATCTTCTCACAAGAAAAGATGAGGAAATAGAAAAAATTAGAGTGGAGTTTAAAGAAAATATGGAACTGAAAATGAAAGAGGTGCATCATAGTTATTATGATAATAATTCATTTTCATTGTTATGTATCTAGTAATTGTAGTACTGCAGTTAGAGTGCTTACACCATGTCCATGAAATAAAATCTAAATAGTTACTATCATATAGTTCTTATTTAGTGACTATTAGTTGCTATCACTCAACTGGAACAGTTATAATGAGGTGTTAAAATTGTTTCCTTTGTATTCAATTCCCAAGTGTACATAGAATGTGTTGTTACTTGTTAGTGACTAATAATCACTTAATAAAAACTGTTTAGCAACTATTTACTAGATTTTATTTCATGGTTAGTGTAAGTCTGATATTAAATCAATATTGTTTAACATTTCCTAGCATGCAGATATCCTTGAAGAAACTAAAACAAATTATGAAAAGGAATTAAAGTCGAAAGATGAAAAGCTCAAAGTCTTGAAATCACACATGGCAGATGCTTTAAAGGATAACTCCAGGTCTGTATTCAAATTCAGTTTCATGGATATAGTATAGCAATCCTGATACTTTGCTGATTTTGTTTAGAGAGAGGCAAGTCCAGCTCGAAGAGCTGGCTCGCGAGCTGAAAAAAGTTTCTGAAGAAGCAGACATTCTAAAGATGAGGATGCATTCTAACAAGCTATCACAGGTTTGTACACAATACTTCCTAAATTTACCATTTTGCCATAATTAGTAACTAACGATATGGTTTTAAAGTATCCCATTGAAAATAAGTTTTTTTTTTGTAATTTGTCATTATTTTCAATGGTTTAGCACTTTTAACGTTTTCCATTCAATTCCTAACTTCCACAATGTCTTTCTCCAAGATTTCAGATACTTCTGCATAGTTAAATTATTTATTGAAGTTGTACTAATATTTTCAATTTAACTCAGGGGGCATGTAATAATTGTCACTTACTGGAAAAAGAACTTCAAAACAAAATTGTCATCCTAAGAGACAAAGAAGTGGGATTAATAGAATTGCAGCAGTTATGTGAAAAAATGGAGAAACAACTAATGGAACAGGTTGSTTTTTATATTTTTGACCTTAATGATCATGAAACAAATTTGTAAATTTATTTATTTATTTTTTTTAAGTAAAATAATTCTTGATTCTTTTTTCTGATGTTGTACAAATGATAATTAATGTTGAATATCAACTTTAATATATGCTTTTGTGAATGTTATTTCTTTAGGACGAACTTTTGCGGATGTGGGCAAAAAGCAAAGGAAAAGTTATAAGATGACAGAATTGTTGGACAGAGTTTGTTAATTTTGAAAAAAAAAATTATTTCAAAATGTTGTACCTAACTTTGGACATCCAGAATCATCTGGAAGTGGTTGTTTTTTGCACAAAATATGAAGAGCTTGAACAGGTTCCAACCACTTCTAATATCGAATAAATATTAACAGAAACAACAACGACAACTTTATTTTGCTCAAAATTAAGAAAATCAATGATGCAACTATACTTATAACAAATAGATTCCATTTTTCTGTGCATCTGTTCTCTAATAGATATGTAAATGGGTCAAATATGATAAGAACAAAAAAGCACCTACTCCACAAGTCGAATGCCATATGACTGTTGTTCTCATCACATTCTAACACCTGTGTATCTTTTAGAGTGCAGGAACACAGACAAATGGAATCTATTTGTTTTACATGATATTTTCCTAATATTTTTGTGGACTGGGAATGAATGGTTTAATTAAAACAGTTGAATGAACACAACAAAGTGTGTGCACTGGTTTTGACCAATCAGAGCACAACTAAATAAGATGAAGTGGCATCATCAGTGCATGTGTACTGTAACAACACATGGTTRTTGGTCAATCAAAGAGTGCACAATATCCAAATTATTATTTAAATGTAAATATTGAATACCGAAAGATTGTTTTAGTAAGATGTTTAATAAAAATTGGATGAGTAATGATTACACAGATGCTTTGGAAGCTAACATTATACAGCAAATTTGTTTCTCCAGAACCAAAGTACTGTAACAATTTCAATCTAAAATCAAGGAGATTGACTCTCTAATTTATTTGACATTTTATACTTGACTGTGTGGTAAATAAAAAAGACCATAAACTGAGCTAATGTGTTTCATTTTGTGAGCAGTGTGCTATGATTGTAGGAAACCTTCTGACCACTCAGTATTATGATAATCTAAGGGTTGAGAGAGCCAGTATGGAGTTGCTAGAGACTGCTGACGAAAGGATTGAAAAATTACCCTAATTAAGGTACACATAAATTAATTCAGGTATCAATTCCAGACCCTAAAAGGTATGGCCACAATTAACAAGAGAAAAGCTCTAGTTTAACAAACTTTAGAAAATCACTGTCAATAGATTTTTGAGGTTATAGAATAAWTAAAATGTCTTTATACTGAATTCTTCAAATTTCGTTTTCAATGTTTGAAAATTGATCCTAAAAGTTATGGAGTCTTATTTTCCTAGAAATTATGACTTCCAAAATTAAAAGTTGATATATATTTTTGGGATACAAGTTTTGTAGATTTCTTAAGAAAATCCCATTCCTTTCCTAGCCATCCTAACTCATCCCCCTGCACCTTCACTGTGCCCATCCTCAATGTCAATGTGAGAGCGAAAAAAATTATAGTTTTTACTCTCAATATAAACGAGTAAGTTAATTTTCAAATCATTATATAAAATCACTTGCACAATATTGTMATGSTTGTATCTTTCTCATTTGTTTTGATTTTGGGCCTCCTGTCCCGCACACTGATTAACGTCATACTAATATTTATATCCCAGACTGCCACGCGACACCACAAACTACGTAGGTGTTCGAAAAGATGGCTAGTCCTCGAACACGAAGGGCTTTAAAAGAACTTAAACCAAAAGATGGAAATAATGTAAGAAAATCATTGAAACAGTGAGAGATGATAATCAGATATGTGTTCTTTTCWCTTCCGAAAACCTAGCTCGTAATGTCGATTATTTCTTGTTTTAGACGTGTTTCGAGTGTGGGGCACACAATCCCCAATGGGTAAGCGTTACGTATGGCATATGGATTTGCCTTGAATGCTCGGGAAAGCATCGTGGATTAGGAGTACATTTAAGGTATAGTAGCACTCCTTTTATAAACCATGATTATTATTATCTTGATTTTGTTCGAACGATTTAAAATTGTTTTTCGATTTCATTGTGAATTTATGAAGAACCGGCAGTGATGTCATCCCGGTCTCGTTTTACTAGTAGACGGTCGATTGAGCAAGATGAAGTTTTTTTTAATTTTTTTTTCCTCGTACAGTTTTCCCCATGAAATCCAGGTATTACTAAAAAAATTTGTCTTTTACTTAAACTATGTGAAAATTATGAAAATTTTTCCTAGACTTCCAAAAATCATAATTTTTTCATGATTTCGAAGATCAAAGTTCATTTTATAATAAATTTGATAAATCATTCTTTTGGTCTAAAGTTTTGTCAGATCAGTTACAATGGACAAATGGAAAGATTCTGAACTGGAAAAAATGAAGGTAACATCTTATTTCAATCTTATTATGTTATTATTATGTTTCCATTATTATTAATAAATTATAATATAATATTTTCTTTTAAAATATAATTATCTATGAAGTACCTATATTTCTCACTTTTGAAAGACATTAAAACTGTTTAATATGTTGCATAATTTGCTTTCATAGGTAATTTTATTATATTGTTAATAGTGTTTTACCTGAAACTAAAATACTCGTATTTTCTATATTTTCACTAGTAGTGAAGATATGAAAAAGTTATGTACAAAAATATCCTGGATGTACATGTGCATCAAATAAARACAACTTTCTTGCTCATTTCTACTTGTCACTGTAGTTTGTCCATATAATAAAAAGAACATTACACGTTGGATTGAAGATATGAATTTTATTTTCTCATGTTAAAAACAACATTTTAAGTTAATCATTTCCTGCGCTCACTCGTAAAATATTGTTTTCACCACTCAAGATCCTGTGCTTCCCGGGTACACACTAGTCTGTSACTTGTCTAACATCAAAAAATTAATGGTATTCATTGATGTCAGGTTGGTGGAAATGATAAAGCAAAGTCATTCTTCAAGTCTCAGCCAGATATCCATCCAGGAATTTCACTTTCTGAAAAGTATAACTCAAAGGCTGCTGCCCTTTATAGAGATAAGGTAAGTTTTAAACTGTCATCTTGAAACTACAATATGCAATATTTCATTAAACCACAATGTTTTTGATGATTATTTAGATCACTGCTTTGTCAGAAGGACAGTCATGGTCYCCTGAGACTTCCTCAGCAAAGAATTGGACTCCTCCTCTCCATAAAAGTGCAAGCAGCTCAAACATGTCAAGCAGAGGTATATCATCAAGTGGAATGCATCATAGTGACTCAACACCTAACTTTATGGGTTTGTCAAGGTAAAAGCATTTTACTTTGATAGCCTGCACTGGCTGTTGATGTACAGAATACAGTGTTTACAAAACAAAAGCCAGCTGTCAAATTGAAACTAAGATTGTTTTCATCCKTTATTTCGGTCATATATTCCAGATCAATTCATTACGACTTCAAGTGTGTAATTCATTATTACCATTTTGAAGATTCTTTATCGTCTTAAAATAGGTTGTTGAAATGCTCTAATTGTTCCAAATACGAATACAGTTCTGGAATTAATGTTATCCTAGATTACAATCACAGTTTTCATGAAAAACACCAAACATGAACCTGGAACATGTATCCATTTCAAAACAAAATGGTGGTCGCCCAAACAACAGATACCTCACATACGATCAAATTGCTTCGAAYATCTCTACAAAAGCTTAAAATCAATATAATCATGTGTTGTATTCATAAAAACATGATCTTTTCTAGGTAGATTTCATTCTATATGGAAAACATTGCTTAGAAACACTTATAATTTATTCTAAACCCAAGTGAACTCGGGTTTGCATGAATTACACACTTTGTCCATCATAAAGTYGTCATGTATACTTACAATACATATTTATTTGGTATTTCAGGCAAGAAATAAATTCCCAAAGAGATGAGTTCTTTAGCCGTAAACAAGAGGAAAATGCATCTAGGCCAGAGTAAGTATCATAAATTGTATTGTATAGTATCTGGAATTGAATATTATTATATACCAAGTACATGTACATACCACCAAGCATTGTAATAGGATATTAATATTGATGTCATAGTGACCTGCACCCAAGTCAAGGTGGCAAGTATGTTGGGTTTGGATCAGCACCTATGACAGTTTCAAATACAAATGCCAACTCTGGTTGGGATATGGCACTAAGCTCATTGTCATCTGTAAGTATTCTTAGTTTTTTTTAAATGTTATAGCCATTAGATAATGGCAACAATGTACAGTGACAATGTATCTCCATATTTTAAACAAAGGTTGCTCGTGCAAATAGCTAATATCAAATGGCATTGCAGTAGCGAAAGGGACTATGGTTGTGATCAATACAGACTACTGTATAAATCATTACTATTTCACATCAATTAACAAAACCCATGGCTTATTTCTGTAATGCAATTGCCATTCACTATTTTTTCCATCAACCTTTYTTGAAGTAGGTGTATGTCTTTATTCAAATGATTTATGAGATTAGGTAAGAATGGATATAGTATACTAGTATAACCATACTATCATAATTATTTTTAAGGGATGGACTTCTTTTGCTTCTGGGGCTGCACAGCTGGCTTCAACAGCTTCAACACAGGTATGAATCTAATAAATAGGAAAATGAAATGGTTTAGATATTTGATATTGCAGTTAATTGTCAAATTTATTGCTAGTCTTCAAAACAGTTGCAAGTTTGCTAGAAAGTTTCTTTACTTTGATAGAAAAGATAGAAATTATAGTGATGATTAGACATGAATTATGTTAAGCCAGTCAAATATTTGACCAAACAAAATGGATATATAACAAGAAAATCAAAGTATTAATTACCTATACTATAAACTACATCAAGTGTCTTTACTGTACATTATTATACATCTGTGTGATTCTTGGGTAAATATTGTCATCATTTYTTGGTGATTACAAGTGTTACCTGTTTATATATCAGGCAATCAAACTTGGCACTACATTGAATGAAAATGTGGTGAAACCTACTGCAGATAAGGTACAATAACATTTGTACATTGCATTTTTGTCCTACAGTTTTCCATATCAAATCCTAACCAGTTAATTGACGTAGATTTTTCTTTACTTCCCTGTTTCGTTCTTTCGTTTTTTTCATATTTTATCTATGAACATCTTTTGATTTCCTTTCTCATCCTTTGATTTATGTCCTTTTGTCTTCCATTTATTTCTTTTTCTCCTTTCCTTTTGTTCATTTTATTGACAAATGCAGGTTTATGGAAACAAATCCAATTCCTGCGAGATTATAATAGAACATTTAAAACACAAAGAATATTAAAATAGTAAAACTCCTAAATCCAAAAATATAAAGAACTTTTTAAAAAAATTAAAGCCGTAAATGGAATAAAACAAAATTTATAATATGCATGTCAACTCTAAAGATTAGATTGACTTACATATAAATTCATAAAATAGATTATTAACCTAAATTGATAAAACATCTAGGTAGGACCACTAAAGCAAACAAAATGCATTTAGACGTTGCCTTGAATATCACTAAAGTTCAAATAAATGTGTGACAGTTCTTGATAGACCACAAGGTATCTTGGGTATTCAGAAAAGGAAATCATATTTGCCTAAGCATGTTAAATTAGCATTACTCATGTAGAGAAGGTCATTTCATTCAGTGCAGGTAATCATTTGGCACTGAAACACTAAATAATCATAATAGCTGCTTTCCCTTTCGGTCATAGACTCACAGATAGTTGACATCATTAATGCATTGCAATGTACAGCAGCCTATGCATGTATGTTGTGGACATCCAAGAAAGTTAGCCAACAGTATTGGTTTAATTTAAATGTCCAACTTCGCATACATGCAAATGATAAGTTTGGCCTTCAAATTTTGTAGAACATGGAAGTCATTAATGCTAGAATGCATTAGCCATTCCTGCCACAAGTAGCTAGTATGTTGCTAGCAAGTAGTTTATATTGATTTTAGTTAAACTGCTTAAAATGTTTTGAGATTTTCATTAGATGCAAACATACATATCCATCAAAGTATCAGTTCTCACACTCTGATTGGCTAACTTTCCCATCACTTTCTTGWAAGGCCATATTAACACACATTGAATTATATTAAAACTTAATGACATAAACTGATAGTTTGGATTAAAGCTTGAAATGAAATAAATTTTGATATAAATTATAACAGAAATTCAGACCATAATTAATTACAATTACCTTATTTAACATTTCTGTGTAAACTTTCAAATATGGTTGTACACTGATTAAAGTAAATTTAAAATCAAATAAAAACACTGTTGGTCTTGTAAGTAMTATTATGCTGTGAATGGATAAATATCAGACTAACATTGTTTATCTCTCTCAAAAGGCTGTCAAACTTGGATCCACTATCAATGAATCTGTTGTTAAGCCAACTACTAATAAAGTTCAAGAAGGAAAGCTCTTTGAAGACATGACATCTTCCATGTCAAGTTTAGCAACCAAAGTAAGTGTAATGAACAGAAAACATAAAAAATAAACTTGAATGTATTATTTTTTCCCAAAAAACGTCAACATGAGCAAAAACCATAAACAAGGCAACTGTAATAAAATGATGTAATAAATTATAGATGAGCTCTAAATGATGTAATAAATTATAGATTAAAAATTATTCTTTGTACTTAGATGAAAGATGCCAGTGCCAAAAGTTGGTCAACTGTTCAAAATGCAAGCACTAAAGGCTGGAGTAGCATCCAGACATACATGAACCAAAACCCTGAGACCCTGAAAAGCAGTAGTTACTCTGCAGGAAGCTATGGAAGTATGAATGAACCTACTAATATCAACATCAAATATGATGACACAAATGAAGATTTCTGGGCCTGGGGAGAAACATCTTCGACATCTCAAGGTACTACAAGTGTTTCTAATGGATCAAGAACTGAACAAAAGAACAGTGGTGGTAGTATACGGAAGGAGCCCAGTAATGACTTTGATGAATCTTGGGGTTGGGATGATGAATTTACTGCTAAACCTGCTAAACCAAAGACTGTGAATGGTAAAAAATCACCTAATTTAAAAACCAAGAAAAATATTCAAGAAACTAATGGTTGGAATGATGAAGATGACTGGGGACAGAGTGATAGCTGGAGTAATGAGGACTGGACTTCTGTTACTCCACAGAAAAACACTAGAAAGACTATAAGAAGTGCTGGCAATGGCAAAAAAGCTGATTGATACTAAATTATTGACTGGAATTTTAAATTGGGTTTTACTCTAGGTCTAATAACCAGGGATATCTAAATCTATTATTCTCATGACGTTTTGTGGAATTCATCCTATTTTTATAGCCAGCTTAGATTGGGACAATACATGTACAATTGCAAATACACTGTAAAGAATTGTATCTTAGCTGCTGTTTTAGAATTATAGCTGCAGGAATGGCTATCAAAGGCTCCTATATCAGACATTATTTGTTTCATCGTCTTGTAAATGGATATCTGACAGTGAAACAACACATTCATCAAATAAAGCAGCTGATAGAGGGATCTAGTAAGCTACTTTGATGCCATTAAAGATAATTAGAGATTACAGAATTATTATTCATTCCGGCATTCATTTTAGATTTGGTAATCAAACAAGAAATGTTTAATAACTGTAATCCGTCAAACAGTAAAAAGGACTGAAACAATATGTGCCCTTGGCATTGTTCAAGTGCCACCAAGAGCACAATTTTTTCCTCAAACATTGTAGCCTGTGTATATCCTGTGTTTAACTACAAAGATTGTTTTGGTGTAGCCTGCGTGCAGTTGAACCAAATCTGTTGTTGTRCTCAACAACTCAACAACAGTTTTGGTTCGGATGCAAGCAGGCTATTTTGATGCTCAAACATTTTTGTTTTACCACCTTGTTTTGAAAATGTTGTTTATGATCCRTGCATCAAAGCATGTGTCTGTAGTGTACAAATTTGCTACTAGTATATTTTTCCACTACCTTGGGAGGGAACAAGAAGTGTCAACTAAACACAGGCTACCTTCAATTGAATTGTTTGAAGAGATTTCAAGGGAGTAATCTGGTTTCACTTACATGTATTCAGCGAGTTTTGAGTTATTACYGACTAGGATAACTGAAAAAAAAATCATACACTAAACAGACAATCGTGCAAGAATCCAATAAAGTTTGATGAAAATGCCATTTAGTTAATTATATCACGCTAATCAAAACTTGTAGATTTGTACTCCTGGTGGTTTTTAAGCATTTTCGGTAATATGTCTTTGATTTAGAAGTTGTGCCATTTTAACTCGAAGATTGCGAAGCAATCRAAGAGTTATAGGAGGGAGATGAGGGAGATGATGTGTGTGAGGGACTAGTTAATTAGTCACTAATTTTTTTTCTGTAAACATACGGGCATTTAGAAATCCGTAACCAAGATGGCCAGGTGTTTTGATACAGAAATGGCTTTTTAAACACACAGAATGTGATTTCCAACATCCCTGGGATTCGAACCCACGACCTTCGGAATTGTTTCCTTCGGATTTTGATTTCTTCAATATACTATAACTTTCTTTCATTTCTATATCGTAGTTACTTAAAGGCCCAGTTTGCACCATTATGCTTTGCACACCTCTGTTATGATTTACACCAAAATACTTCTAGTATCCAAATATCACCATAAAACGAACTTCAGATGGTTGAAAACTCTTATATTGACTATATTAGCATTTTTAAACAAAGTGCTTAGAAAAGTGAGATGCTCAAAGATTCGAAACACACAGTACTATKTAGAAACTTACGGTAAACCGAAAATGGCCGCCTCCCGGCCCTCGCGGTAATGATATATTATTATACATCTTATAAACTCAGGCATTACAATAGCCACGCCCTTTTTCATATGGTCTATTAAAAGATTTAAAACATTCTAGAATAGCCGAGTTTAGATATTTTGGTTCAGTGACCATGCACAAAAGAATTGCAGACGAGGCTCCGGGGAATAAAGAATAAATCAAGATTATTCATTGATAATTTTTTTATTTTTTAATATTGCAAAGAGTTATTTTGAAGTGCACGCTTCAAAATGACCAATCAAAGAGCGTATAATATCGTTTTATCAGTTTATTCTTTATTTCCCCGGAGCCTCGTCTGCAATTCTTTTGTGCATGGTCACTGAACCAAAATATCTAAACTTGGCTATTTACTCAACAGCATAGATTTTATTTTTAAATTATTGCAAACTGTTWCAAATTTATACAGTTCATACCAAACTTGATTATACTTTCCTATTCTGAATTTGCTCTTTTATTTGTGGGTTCCATGTTGCCACAGTCTAAGCTGGGCTGACTGTAGAAGACTTGTGTCAGAAACTACCAGTACTGAAAGGGTAAATTGGGTTGTTGGCGCCAATGTTTGTTTTTTTTTAGTCAGCCAATTCACAACTTTCCATAAGCAGGTTCAGTGATCGCAAACAAAGCATTGAACCAATGCGTGAAAGGAACACTTGATCACAGATCATTTCTTTTATGTTCACTGTACCATGACACCTCTGTTCAAGTCTTTGATCGTGGTCAGTGACCACGATCAAAGACTTGAACAGAGGTGTCATGGTACAGTACTGAACCCGAGTATGGAAAGTTGTGAATAAATAAAAAGAGCTCATACCTATAGCAATTCCTGGAAATTTGAAGGCAATTGGTTTGAGATATCACGTGCTGAATTTRCAAGATTTTCTAAAGAACTTACCATGTTGGGCATAATGTTGCCAATCACTGAATGATTCCTATAGAAATGCCGATATCTTGAAATGTAAAAAGGTGTTCGCCCTAAAATGTTCAGGTTTTGTTGAGAGTCAGATATAATCTTGAATTATTTTTTGAATTTGATATTTTGGATGTACTAAACAACCTATCACTGTACGCCAACCTATAGAACGATTAGTAAAATTGTTGTACCATAATATAAATTTAACAGACCAACATTTTGCAAACAAAACTGTATTTCCAATGAAGGTAATAATATTTACAATGTTAATTTCAGGTGACAATAAAATTAGCTAGGTATCTAAATTAAAACAGCTGCGATCAAAATAAAGATATAAAGTATAATATCAATTTAATTTCCCTAAATAAATGCTCTAAGGGGAYATTCTCTGTTAATTAAGTTGTTTTCAAACAAAGCAAATGCACTTAAGGACCAACAGATGCCAATTGATTCGTTAACCCTAATTTGTTGATGATGCAATTATTGCCATACTCAACACACATAGTACAGTACATGTTGTATAGACACTGAATTCAATAAAATGTAGACCAAAGTTGATATCAGTCACTACACTCTATCAAGTCTAATAATGTTCAAATTAATATATACATTATTGCCATTTGGCATGGGAAGCTCTATGGGCTCTGAAATTGCTATATACAGTCTAATGTATGTCTTGAATCACCAGTAGAGAGAGTTGCTTATAAATGTGCTAACACTTGAAAACCAGCCACTGTTCTCTTTGTTGTCTTTGTCAAGTTTTGCAACAGCCTGCAAATTCAAAATTATGAGAAATGTGAGTAACTGGGACCATCACCTTCCTGTAAAACCTTGCATTTTCATGGCTAATAAATTTGTTATTTTTCTTCAAATCTTTTATGGATGAAAGGATAGAATTGACAGAACATTGATCAAATCACATTTGAATACCAATAATAAACTTATTGATGGCTAGAATTGAAAATATCAATGTTCTTCACAGATTCCTCAACAAAGKTATTTTGCTCCTTCCCCAATGAAGAATGCCTCATGAAGGCTTTTAACAGAAAGTTCTTAACTTGAGGTTTCCTATGATTGAGGTTAGTGAAAAGTTTAATATGTCCATCCTTTGCAAGTTAATTGCTACCTTATCTGATGTTTCTTGAATGTCATCATCTTCTGGGAGATAATCTGGTAGGGGTTGACTGCTGTTACCTTTGTCACCGCATGAAGGNGAAGCCCGAAATTTAAACTCTGGGTTCCACAGGAACCCCGAGTAATAATAAACTTATTGATGGCTAGAATTGAAAATATCAATGTTCTTCACAGATTCCTCAACAAAGTTATTTTGCTCCTTCCCCAATGAAGAAAGTTCTTAACTTGAGGTTTCCTATGATTGAGGTTAGTGAAAAGTTTAATATGTCCATCCTTTGCAAGTTAATTGCTACCTTATCTGATGTTTCTTGAATGTCATCATCTTCTGGGAGATAATCTGGTAGGGGTTGACTGCTGTTACCTTTGTCACCGCATGAAGGTGCCATTCCAAATGAAAGCATGGTCTGAAAAGTAATAAATCAATGTGAATACTGTTATTTTGTATAAAACCAGTTGCAGTGGAACATACACTGAATGGGTGAAATTAGAAATTAAAGAATACTTTAAAAATCAATATAGATTTAAACTAATATCACAATACGCATACACCCAGTTGAAAAATTAGATGTATAAGCTTGTAAATGTTTTGTTGTTTGTACCTCCTCTCCTTTCTCATTTTTGACTACTTGCTGTGCTGACAGTAGTTTAGTCTGGTTGATGGTCTCGCATAGTGATTCTCCTGTTAAATCATGTTTACACCGTACTATCATTCTTGATCTTCCCATATCAAATGTGAAGCTTATCACTCCTTTCTTGCGAACCATATTTTCTTCACAAATCCTTCTTGTCGCCTTTTACAGATWATTATAACATGAGCAAAAATATGTTAGACCTACATTTTTCTAAAGTAACAATCAGACGTGTGCCTTTGTCTTTTTTCAGATWGCTGGTATAAATTTGCTCTTTTTATGTATATTTTGGGATTTGTTTCTTACAGTAGGTGTAAGGAACAAAAGAGCAGAGAATCATAAGCTTGAAATAAAGGTAAAAGACCACATAAAGAGGAGTTCCCTATTTCAAGAGCTTGTTATTGCTGTAATATATCAGCTGTCCAACTGCATGGTTTGATCCAAAATAGAGTATAACTACATGTAGCAAAGCAGATAAATTAAATGAATGTGTATAATACTTACAGTAGACAATCCTCTTATTTGTAAGATCACTAATTTTGCTTTCTTGTTTGATGTTCCAAGGAAGAATGGATTGCTGGTGAATTAAATTTTTTGTGATAACTTTATATCAAGATTTACCTGATTTCAATGTTACAAGAAGTATATACTAAGAACTGTACTATAGTCAACCCATACTGCTCCTTTTGGGAGGAATTGGAAATCAACAAAATACATAGGCCAAAAGCTTGATTTCAGCAATAAATTATCTACATAGGAGAATCATTCCTATAAATTTGAACAAAAATGTTCTTTTCGATTCTTGAAACCTAGGACACTTTCCATTGACAGAACAGATCAGTTAGACTGATCTATTTATTTCCTTGTGTCTGGCCTGCAGTCAGTCCTGACAAATGGAAAGTGCCCACAGAGTCCCATTGTCCTAGTAATGTTTACCTCTTCTTTCCAGGTTTGGAGGGAACTTTGCTCTGTGGGCGTGGGATGATCTTGTGATAAACTTGCTTGGCTAGTTTACGGAGCTGAATGTCTAGTACCTCATTATTGATAATGGTCTTTAGACTAACAGACATTCCCATTTCATCTTTCATAACTGCACGGTTTGGTGCATATTCAGCAAGGAAATTCAATGCCTGATGACAAAGTCAATTTTTTACAATTTATATTGAACTTTAATTATCAATGGAAACTTGTTATTATCTTTTAACTAGGCATCCAAAAAATACCAAAAATTAAAACTGGTAAGCTTATTTTGTAGATGTCTAGTAGGGTGATCCACTAAACACTATCTTAATCTTTAAAACAAAATTCTTACCAGATGACCGCATATAATTATTGTAGTACGCCCGACCACTGATTTTTTAAAACAAAATTCTTACCTCTAACGCCTTCAGCATCACTTCTTTATCTTCATTGTCAAGGAATAATACAAGGCCAGAAAGACATCCTTGATCCTGTTTAACATAACGAATTTTTTTATTATTTCATGTTTTCTGTAGTTTCGTACTTGGCTAAAAGATCGTCGCCCTAATCACCTTAACTATCGTCGCCCTGTTGTTTGGATCCGCTGCTAAATCTCTCAAATGACTAACAACTGCAATAGCACTCATAACTAAAACTTATTTGTTTGAAATAAGTTATAAAAGACTTTCTCTTTGACGTCGATGTCTCTGTAGAGCTGCCTTACTCGCACGAAGAACAACTTTGTGTATTAAATCCCCTCGTGGATGATTTCAAATTGTACCGGTCGCGATGCTGATTGGTTGTCACCAAGTACACTTTGTTTTGATTGGTCATTTGGTTTATTTGAATATCAACTAACCAATCACATCAAAGTCCCTACCAGACTTCGATGCAGTTTGTTTTAGAAGGTCGGACATCGAAGATGAACTTTTAATTTTTTCTTGTTTTTAGGCTTTTATTTCATAAATCGTTCGTAATTATAGTATGGATATTTTAAAGGATATTGTTTCATTGGTCTTAGAGAGCTATTTTGGCTGGAGTGAATATGAAATCGCGGTAAGAATAATCACAAATATCGCTTCAAAATCGTKTCATTGACCAAGTGTTCGTTTTAGGAACTTTGGCGTGCTTATCCTGGACGAAGAAGAAGTATTGTTCGGCAGATTGGAAGCTCACTACCAGATATTTTACCAAAGATTTTTACAAAGCGGAGTATTGTGCGAGAAATCGGTAGCCGTTTGCCCCTTCCTCCAGTAAAGAGACCTTGCTTCAAGGTAGGTTTTTTTTCTGGAAAGAAGAACAACCAAAAGATTTGCGCTTAKATATTTTTTAATCAAAATATACAAATCATTTTATTCTATTTTTCCAGTAAGCTAATTATTTGGAATTAATACTCCAAAATATTTCTTTTAGATTGGTCCAAATGTGTATTGCAACCCCGACGCCACTAATTTACAGGACGGAGAAGTAAACTGGATTTTTGGGCCTGAATATTTCGAAGATTCCTTCAGTTGTGTTGGTTCAGAGGGAGATGCTTCTGATCAACTATCTTTATGTGAAGACTTTGATGATGTTGATAATTGTGTCCAAAAACAAACAGACATTTTAAGTAATTTGCCTCCAATCACATCTGAATCAGTAATAGACAATAATATGGCAATGAAGAAAATATCAGCGTTGGAAGAAGAACTAAATAGACTAAGAGCTCAAATAGCATCAATTGTTGTGCACCCACCATCTACTCCATCAATCAAACCAAATGCAGTACMCCTGACCTCAACACCATGCACTCCTGAAGWGCATCCTTCACGTCCATGTATGTTTGCACCACCTCCTCCTCCACCACCACCACCACCACCACCTCCACTGTGCTTGACTCCTGTTAAGTCTGCTCAGGATGTCATCAAAGAGGTAAGTCCATCTTTACCTGTTTATCAAATAAAATGTTCAACACTCAAGTGGACCTTGAAGTGAGTGATTTCACTGCAAAGTTTTAAACATAACTTTTCAATTTTTTATTACATTTAATTGTAAAAATTAGCAATAATAGTTTTTTTTCTTTCAACCTTAGCATACATACACGAGACATAATGCTGTAAGTACAGTGCATGTCCTCTTTTAAGGCACACTATAATCAGCTAATCAACGTGCAATAATTTAGACAAGTGTGGTGAAACATTAAACCATCCTCTTGTAAACCCTTTGGGATTGATGATTTGGTCCAGTGGAGATTTGGCTTATGTTCCTTCTAGGATCCTGACACAATCCTAACCTGGATCTTGTCAGGATCCTGTATAAGATCTTATTCAAGATCCTACAGGATCATGTTTAGGATCCTATATTCCACCTAGGATCTTACATAAGAATGTGATCCTGTGTAAATTGTAAAATCCTTAGGCTATTCCTATACAGGATCCTGCTCAGGATATAAGTTAGGATCCTATTTCTAAATATGATCCTACAGGATCCTGTCTAGGATTTGCACCAGGGTTATGAAATGTTTGTACGACTGAAATGTTACATTTCAGATGTATGTTTTGGCTACTTTAGCAATTTAAACAGTTTCACATACTACATTCTTGTTCCTCCACAGAACAGAGCACAAAGAAAGACATTAGGAATTCCAGCTGATAAACCATCAAATGTGCCATGTTTGTCTGATGTTCTGAAGGGGCTTGGCTCTGTTAAACTCAAGTCAATTGAAAGGTATATTACATAAACTGATGACACTAAGATGCTTGTAATAAATTGGTATAGTAATTTCATAACCATGACTTGTATTAAGTTCCATGATGAAATTACTATAATTGCAGATCTCCTGGAGGAACTCCCATAAGAAGTAAACCCCTTGAAACAGAAGGTTCAGATCCTTCGTCCATCATTGCTAAAGCACTGAAGAAAAAGTTTGCTCAGAGACGAAAATTAAGAGATGCTGATTCACCAAGTAAGTCTCCTGGACCTGAATATCACACACACGTTTTTATGAAAAGGCCACATACCAYTCTTCTGTGCTAAATAATATGGCACACCCATTACCTTGGCATGACTTATGATTCTCTAGAAATATAGCTAGTGTATAGCCATTGACGTCATCTGCCAATCATTAACATCAAATCCATAATTAATTTTATCATGAAATTTATCTGTAGTGTCAACAATTAATAAAAATGTTTGTAATTAAACCTCTTCTCAAAAAAAAAACATATTGAGCACTTTGGTTTTAACTGCAAAAGTCTATTATATGTAGACAGCTAGAAATAATGTCCTTAGCAATTATAACATATGAACATTGTTCACTAAATTTTTCAAAATTCTTTATTTGTTGTTTAGGTTTAGACAAAGAAAATGAGTCATCTTTCTCTCCTTCACCTGCAAAAAGTCCTAGGACCCCAAAGGTAAGCACCTGCAATTAACAATACCCAAAAAAATTTTGACATTAGGAATTTTATTGTCAGTGCTGCCTTACCTTATGGGAGGGTAATGAGAATACGTGATCAGAGGAATTGTAGGAGCACTTTTTTTCTTCCTTTATAGTGTCTTGCAATAATGGTCACTAAAAGTCATTTGACCTGAGACAAAATTACTCCTGAAATATCCAATTATATACTTAACTTAAGCAGCTATGTAAAAACATAGCAAATTGATTTTTTTAGTGCATATTTTATAGAGAAATGTATAGACCATACCCCAGCCATTCATCTCTCTTTAAAATAAGCTGGTTGGAAAAAATCAAATCTCCAGGTTTTCAGGGGTCATATTGTCCCAGACTGAAATAATATGCAAATGGTTAATGTCCATTTTCTCTTTTTCTCAATGACATCGTATTTTATGTTTTTGCACAGTTTGGACCACATTTGGGAAGGATGTCAGGATCTGATCTCAACGACAGAGTCTTACAGACAAGTCCCTTAATTAACATGAGAATTTGATGTAACTGTATCTTTAGAAAATTTTATTGAATTCTGTACAGTTCTTTAAGAATCATTTTTTGTTTATATTTCATACTGTAATATATAACGTGTCTTTTTTTGTGTGTGGGCAATATTTTACCCAACCTGGATGTCATAACCAAGCCATATAAAAACAGGACTCTTGGTGAATTAAGACTATAATTGTAGCTCAAGATGCCGGTTCCAAAGGAAGCCTGAAGGAGGAAAAAAGAGTTGCTGGGGGAGGGGGCTAAGACTTGTGGAACTAGGCATGAGTTGGGGTGGTGGACTTTCTGGTAGGATGGAATGTAGGCAAAGCGAGCGTCAACCTAACTATTGACAGGTCAAACTCCATTGACACGTCACATTTGTATTCAAGTATAAAATCAGATTGAGATGAGCAAGAATACCACTCATGATGTTGTTATATTCTGATGCTAACAAGAACCATGAACTCACTCATGTTTTCTATCGYACTATTGAGAAACATCTTCATTAGTTGCAAGACAAAGTTTATTCTGAGAGGTGGATGATTGGTAACAGATTGGCTGGAGAATTGATGGACAATGAATATCTTGACAATTAACATCTTGATAACAGCGATGACTTGAAAATTCCAAAACACGACAAATTCAATAATAGAATTAATGGTTGACATTTCAATTGGATTTTTTTTACTTGGAACTTTCTAGTCCATGGTGGAGCAACCTTGATTCAACAAGTGCACTTTCGTCAAAATGAACGCTATCCTACTTTAACAAAAATATTAACTTCTACGTTACCCCTTTAAACAAAAAATTGATTTGTACTACAGGGATTCTTTAATCGAATTTGTCTTTCTCGTTATGAAGGTTCTCCCTACGAAGACGGGAATGGCAAACCTGTTGTGACGTGCAATGCCTCCACTTGTCAATCTCTCTTTTCAAATCGTTTGTTTTTCCAAACCTATGGAGCTAGTTCGGGAAATTATTTTTGCTAAAACCTTTGGTAGACTTAGCGCGCGAAGTGATTTTTTGCTAACCATGTTGCCTTCCATGTCACGATAAAGCTGCTGGGATGTATTCTTAATAAAGCAATGGGCCAAAGGAAAATTCGTCTCAGATAAGTTTAAATTAATMAAAAGAAGAGTCCTGGTGCTTTAATTTATTGCTGTGTAATATCTGGGGTCGGCGTATCTCTAATAAAAAGACAACCTGGAGCTGAGAGCTGAACGAAAACTGTTACTAGAGTGATTACTGCATTCGTTCGCGGCTCTGTTTTTCATTTATCAGCCTGTGTAACGGATATTAAACCTAACCATCCACACATACAGCGCGCGCCGCTCGTGTTATTTTACATACGTTTAAATGCGTCGTGCATACCGCAAAAGATTATAAATTGATAGTAGTAGTACCTGTGAGACAGACGCACTTGTACCGTGAAACATGATCAAAATAAATAGTAACTTGTAGTGTCTATTTACTGACCAATAGCAGATATCATTGAACGACATTAATTCATGAAAGCAAAAGGCGATGCACAAGAGATTTAACAACTGCATAAATGTAAACGCAATCCGTATTTAGTTGGTTTTAAAATGTTATCTGATCAAACTTTCTTTTATTTCAAATGCACACACATAGGGTAATTAGTCGGACTAGCCGAAGGCGGTCCGACTTTAAATTTACCTTTTAGCCTATCTATCTATGTATTATGTCGCGTTTGGACCACCGGAAGTTAAGAATTTAACTAGACGCTCTTGGAGCGTGAAGTCGGGCTAGCTATTTTGGAAAATTGAGAAATTACTTGGATTTGCGAATACGTGAAGAGCGAAAGAGTTCAACACGATAAGATAAAATTCGTATCTAAAAAAACATGTAATATTCTGGCAGTCATATAATTATATATGAAAGTAATTTATGTCGTAGAATACCTTATCTAGTTTGTTTATTCACGCACCGCTATATTCTTTTTTGGTGGCTTGTCGCAACGACATCAAAACACTAGAAATATCGATCCAGGAGTGATATTCTGTCTTTCTCAATTTTCAAAAATATGTAAAACGCTGTAAAAGCGTGTAGCTCATTCAAAATATGCAGATTTCGTGAGATTTAAAAGGTCATATAAACAACACTTTATAATTTAACAATTTTTGATGCAATGTTTAAAGGAAAGAACCCTATTAACCTATACTTATCCCGTTTTTTGTACATGGACCAGCTTATACTAATTAGGGGAATTTCCAAATGCAACTCTTTCAAATAAATTCAAAATAAATGCTTTAAATGCTCTTAAAACTCATATGCTATAATTCCTAATGCAACCCTAGACGAAATGGCGCAATGCATTTGATTATCAGATATCTTGGTGTAAGGTTTCACGTTTTTAATTAAAAAATGACCTCT